GGGTGCCTTTGAAGAAAAGTCCGGCCGGTGAAGCGGATGGAGATTGGCAAAGGGAAGAAGTTACTCCTTCCGAGACTCCTCAGGGAAGGTCTCTGATAGAGTGGTGTTTAAGTACAGACCTGAATGGAGTGAGTGAGGGAATGAACAATAACATGGAGAATGTTCCAGGCAGAAGGAACAGCCATTGCAGAAGCCCTGAGGTGGCAGGGAGCATGCTTGTGTGGCAACAGGAAGGAGACCAGTGTGGCTGGAGTGAGGGAGAGGGAACAGGGGCCAGTGCCAAAAGGGGCAGCTTTAGGGCTGTCTTCCTAGGAACTTCCCTCATTTACAACTTGGATTTGAGCCCAGAGTGGGATTAAGGGGCAGGCCAGCTGGGCAAGCAGCCTGGGTCTAAAAGGGCGCTAAGTTATCCTTAGGGTAATTCAGACGTTTGGAGCCAATGAGCTCGGACTTCTGTCTCTTGGTGAACTGTAACTTGGCTCCCCTCCACTGACAGAATCCTTGAGGACTGCTCACCTAGACCACCTGTCTCTAGAATAATTCTGCAACACGCAGGTACAGGTACAAGTTGCAGGGTTAGATCACAGCTGATAGTTGCCTAGAGGCAGTGATCACAGCTGGAATTCTGAAAATGTGCTATGCGCTGTGAAGTGCCACTCCCTGAGATTTATGCCATTGTCTACATTCAGAATGGTTTGATATGCCTACCAAGAAACTGTCTGCTTCAGAAAACTGCATGTAATGAATTCATGCATTAAGCTCTAATTTTGAAGAGAAAGAATGAGGCTTCCAGTTTTTATTCCGAGAAAATCGGTATTCCCCCACTTCTGCTACATAAACATTCAACAGATATTTAAATAATGCTGGTTTGAGGGGGTGCCAACTCACTGGCTTGCCCAGGGTGCCAGGGCTTGCTCTGGTCCACTTGGCCGGCTCTTACCTGGCAACACTCGCATCACGTGAACCACCTGGGGACCTGATATGTGAGCGGGCTTGCTTAGTGTTTGGGTGTGTGCGTGGCTATAACCCCACAACTGGCCTTCCTTGGTATGCATGGCTTACATAGGGGCTGAAATGGCACTGAGGCTCTTGAGATGGGACCACAGAGTTCCAACGCCCTAACCATGGATCCTATGCCCTCCACAGGGCCAAGGATAGTATGTGAGTGGGAGATGAGTAGGGAATGGAATGAGCGGGGAGGGGAGTTGTAAAGGGCATCAGGAGAGCACCTAGGTCCTAGGTCACTGGGAAAACTCAAGACCTCAGTAAATGCAGGACAAGCAGGAAGTTCAGGGGCTGAGGTAGAGGGGAGGAGGAGCTGAGGCTCCGAGTGGAGAAGGTGCCTGGAGGCGGGCAGGCATTGAGGTCCTCTGGGTCTGAACAGGCGGTCCCAGCTCCAACCCGTTCCCTGGCCCCTCCCTGCTGCCGGCCAGAGTCACACATGTGTTTTCCTGTTTTCCAGATCGGTCCCCGGAGTCACACTCTGCCTTTTCTGCTCTTCAGAGTCAACAGCTGCTGGAGCTCGAGCCTTACCCCGGGTTCCCTTTCCCGGCACCTGCCCCTCCTCCCGAGTGCTGGCACCTCCTCCTCCTCGCACCTGCCCGAAGATCCCAGGACAGGTAAGAGATGGGAGAGGAGAGACGATAGGCGAGAGGGGAAGTGTCAGAGGAGGATGGAGTGAGTCCTGAGAATTGGCTGAACCGGAGACCCGTGAGCCTCTTATTTTCCCAGCCCCAGCCCTCCCCATGCAGAGCCCTCTGCCCAGAGACTTCAGCGCTGCATTCGTGGAGGCCCTGGCCTCAGAAGTAAACACTTTCTTTCTTGCTGCACTTTTTAAAAAAAATTTTTTTAAAGGGACTGTCATAGCTACAGTGGAATATAGAAAAAATGGAGAATGGGGGAGGGAGTAACTGAGCTCCCAGCTTGGGGAGATGGGGGAATCCATCTGGAGCAGAGTGTGTCTGTTTTCTGTTCCTGATATTCGGGGAGGCAGCACAGCCCAGTGGGAGCTAGGAAGGCAGGACGCGGGTGTCTGGGGGAGAAAGTGTCTTTTCACCTTAGCTCCCTGAGCTTGACTGAGGAACCAAGACGCTGAACGGTATGCTGGTCCCTGGAGGAAGCGTGTTTTGGTTTTGCCGTATTCACAGGTGGGGTCAGGGTGCGGGGCTTCCCTGCCTGCTGGGGCCCTGCTCCCTGTGTTCCCTGAACCCCTGAATCTGAAACTTCTCCTGTAGGATGAGTGTGTTGTCCAGTAATCTCCACTAGGTCCTCAGAGAGGTATGCACTTCAGACAGGAAGGAGACGGGGTGCTGCGTATCTGGAACTCTGTTATCTCCTGGGATTCCAGGCTCTGCAAGTTTCTCTTGTAAAGCCTGGGGTGGGAGAGCACTTCAGGACAGGTCCTGCTGGTTCCAGGCTGCCTGAATTCGGTGGAGGCATGACCCTGAGAGCTGGGGTCTCAGGAAGGAATGCGAGCCGCCAAGGATGGTACCTTCCTGCCCACGGAGCTGGTGCTGGGCAGTGGTTGAGAAAAGAGGGGGCATCTTTTCTCTGAAGTCAGCCTCCTCCGTCCAGTTTGAGTGGGTCTACTGAAGAGTAGGCTAGGAAAGGGATTCCATTCATATAGATAAGCACTTCCTGGTGAGACCACTAGGGTGTGCTGTTTGCTGGAGTGTGGGTTTCTCCCCAGTGGGTTTTTGTCTCAAGATTCCATGAGGATTTCACCTTTCAGATACCACCAGCCAGAAAATAAACCCTGCACACGTCTCTCCCCACTTAACCTTACAGTTTCCCCTTCATTTGTCCCCCCTTCACTCCTTTTCCCTATGCCCCATTAGGACACATGTTCACCCTTGGTGCCAGGGAATTTGATCTTAAAAGGCCTAGCGTGATGATGCGTTTCCGTGTGTTTTTGTTTGCTTTAGAAGTGGGCACCCTAGCAATATAGCAGCACTGCCAAGAGGACTTGTAATCGTTTCTCGTTCCTGCAAAGGGATGAGAAAGGGGAGGAGCAGCCAGGAAGGAGATGGATGGGCTTTGTTGGAGCCTTTAGCCTAGACTTTATTTTATTTTAAATTTATTTATTTTATTTATTACTTATTTTTGGCTGTGTTGGGTCTTCATTGCTGCGCGCGAGCTTCCTCTAGTTGCGGTGAACGAGGGTTACTCTTCGTTGCGGTGTGTTGGCTTCAGTAGTTGTGGCTCGCTGGCTCCAGAGCGCAGGCTCGGTAGTTGTGGCGCATGGGCTTAGTTGCTCCACGGCACGTGCGGGTCTTCCCGGACCAGGGCTCGAACCTTTGTCCCCTGCACTGGCAGGCGGATTCTTAACCACTGCGCCCTAGCCTAGACTTTAGACTGAAGGACAGCAGAGACTTTCTTTTAATCTAATCACATCCTCCCCCAGGTAGTTCATTAGAGAGCCATCTAAAGGGCTTTCTTGCCTTAGAGGAGGGCTAGAGACTGGGCAGGTCAGAGCGGGTGGGGAGGTTGGAGAGAGAGCACAGAGCTTGGGCTTTGTTGGCTAACCTACCTGCCTCCCTTGCTATGGCATCTTGGCAGGTGACTTACTTAGTGTCTGCCTTAAGGGGCTGCTGGGGGGATTAAATGAGATAAGACATGTAGGTGTTTAGCAATATGTCTGGCTTGGTTAAGTGCTCAATAAATGACAGTTACTATTATTATAGGAACATTTAAGGGGGAGCTGGGAGAAAAGGACAGTCTTCTGGATGGATTTCAGAAGTTTTTGTGAGAGTGGCTTGGGAGATATGATCTCTGGGAAGGCTAACATCGGGGTCCCCCTCCTGGGTGAAAAAAAAAAAGTTTAAGGGACTAGAAGGTGAGGTTGTAGGGTAAAGATATGCACCCCCCTTACTCCAGGGCTTTTTAGATCTTTGTTCTCTGGTAGTTGAATAACCAAAGGGGGTTTGAAAGGGCACGAGAAGGAACAGAAAGACAGTTGGATTTCAGAATAAGTAGGGTGTATTTCTGTTGGTAAAGGAGACCCAGGATACCGGAGTTAAGTAGACTCTAAAAACAGAATATATGCTTTCCCCAAATTGCTCAACTTCCTCTGTCTGTTCTGGGCCTGTCCAGTATATCTCAGTGAAAACTTATTTACCCATAGTTTTAGGAAATTAGAGTAAACTTGTATTTGGGGAAGGTGTTTATAGGAATTTATGCTTAGCCCATAGATCCTGGTATGTTTTCTTAAGGATGAAAGGGCCTGTGAGTTGGGCATGGATGCAGCCAGAGGTTTCAGTCTCATTTCTTGACCTTGTTTCCTCAGAAGCAGCTTAAGGATCAGCCTCGGGGTCATGGCGCAAGTTTCGGGCGGCCACCTCTCACTCTGTGTGGGGGAGTGTGCAGAGTTCTCTTAGGACACCCGATCACGAGTTGGACTGTACTTACACTTCCTCTAATCTGCATGTGAACAAGCCTCTGTGGCACAATGTGCAACCTTCCTGCCTTTCTTGTTCAGGGTGAGAGAGAAGTGGGGCTAAGCCGGGGCCTGGAGTGAGAGAGGGCTGTGCATTCTTTCTCAACCGCAGCCCTGTCCTCAGCTAATTTGCTTGGGGACAGCTTCCCCAGGGCTGCAGAAGCTGCACCCACCCAGCTGACCGTCAATCCTTTCTTCTGGGCCCTTGGTCCTGGAGCAGAGCTGACAAAGGAGATTTCTGAGAGAGGGCGTTCTTATCACAGAAAGTGCTGAGCCAAGAGCTCCTAGCCTGCCCCTTGCAGACGGGAAGGGCCAGTGAACCTTGGACCCAGACAGTTGCTTAACACCCCTCTCCCCCTCCCTCTGTCCCTCCGCCCTTCTTGACTTCTTGATATGACTTAAATCCATAAGCATTTGCCCGGCCTTTCCTTTTACTACTGGCTGAAGAGCAGGAGTGGTCAGATCACAGCTCCCAGAGGCTGTGTCTCTGTGTGGCCGCTGCCTCGGGGACCTGCTTCCACCCAGGGCCAGGGAGTGAGTGTGCTTCCCACCCTCTGCCTCAGCCCTGCTCATCTTGCCCACTCTCCCTTTGCTGCTCTGCAGTGTCCAATTGCTTCGTTTCCTGAGTGCCTCTAGCCCTAGGATCTGTCCACTTGCTTGGCCAGCCTGGCCTGACCTCCTCTCATCACCTCCTGCTCCGTGATGCCCAGCATTTGCTACCCCGCTTCAGCTGTTTCCTTGCCTCTGCTTTGGCGCTGTCTCTCCAGCAGCAACCTGCCGGGTGGGGAGTGGTCATCGGCTGCCTCCAGTCATCTCTAGGTTGGGCTGCACATTTGGATCACTGATCTCTCATCCATACTTTTTTTTGGGTGATGCAACTAGGCAGGGATTTCATGGCCAGAGACCTACAACACTAGGGGCTGGGAATGGTATTTGGGAAAGGAAAAGCACGGAAAAGAGGAGGCCTGTCTTCTTTCTGGGTGGGGCTGGGCTGGTTGGGCTTTGTTGGGGCTGAAGAGTTCAGCTGAGGGTTGTTAAGGATACTCCCTGAACAGGTGGATAGTTGTGAGTTTCTGACAAGAGCTCTCTGAAGCCTTTGCCAGAGCCAGGGTCCCCGGGGGAAAAGGGCAGTGTTGTGAGGAGAACCCACAGACTAGCTGCTCCCAAGGTTGGCTCCCAAGGTTGCATCTCATCACAGGTGACAGGTGAGACTGAAATTGGAGGGAAGACAGACTTTTTTTTGGGCAAGGCTGAAAAGCACAGGCTCAAATCATTATGGTTACACGTGGGAACTGCCAAATTGTTCGTCTTCCTGTCTCCAGTGAGCTCAGATAGAACCGGGATGTAGTTTTCTATCTTGTAAATCAGGTGGGCAGTGCTAGTCTAATGACGAGAACCATGCTTTCTCTCTGGGGAATGAGTGCCATCCTTTAAAGACTCGAGTTGGTGAGCCAGATGGAGAAGAGGTTCATGGGAGGTGGGACGTGAGAGAGAGGTCTCTGAAATGGTGGGCGTGGGTGGCTTGCCCACTCTGGCCCCTGTGGAGGAGAGTTCTCTGTAATTGCCAACCTGCTATATATCTTCACCTTTCTTCCTTAGAGGGCAATGCCAGAAAGCTGGTGAAGGCTTTCTTCTCCTCCTCCACCATGGTCGACGGCGTTAAGTATGAAGTGGCCTCCCAGCATGAGAGGGACGCCTCCCCTTTGGCCGATGAAGCCAGCCCCAGGTCGGAGCAGGTAAAACTGAAGAAGGAGATCTCGCTGCTGAACGGCGTGTGCCTGATTGTGGGGAACATGATTGGCTCGGGCATCTTTGTCTCCCCCAAAGGCGTGCTCATATACAGTGCCTCCTTTGGTCTCTCCCTGGTCATCTGGGCTGTCGGGGGCCTCTTCTCCGTCTTTGGGGCCCTTTGTTATGCGGAATTGGGCACCACCATTAAGAAATCTGGGGCCAGCTACGCCTACATCCTCGAGGCCTTCGGAGGACTCCTTGCCTTCATCCGACTCTGGACCTCCCTCCTCATCATCGAGCCCACCAGCCAGGCCATCATTGCCATCACCTTTGCCAACTACATGGTGCAGCCCATCTTCCCGAACTGCTTAGCCCCCTATGCTGCTGGCCGCCTGCTGGCTGCTGCCTGCATCTGTAAGTGGGGCTGGGCAGGAGGGGTGGGGTGGAGCGTGGGGCAGAGGCCAGCACGTGAGTCTGCTTAGTCGGTAAGAAGGAGATGGAAAGGAATGCCTCTGACAGACACTTTTTTGTTGTTGTAAATTAATGTACGCTAAGTGTGAAAATTCAAACAGCATCAGAGTGTCCAAAAAAAAAAAATCCTTTCTCCCAACTTCCCATGGTAAACATCATTAGCAGTCTCTACCTTTGCTGACATTTTTCTTCTTCTTTCAAGTGATGTAGCTTTGTTCTGTCTTACAAAAATGGGATCATAGTACACATATAATTCTACAGTTTGGTTTTTTTCCCCAGAATTTATCAGTGATGCTCTTTTCGATTTACAGATCTACTTTAAAACAATGCTTCATGTTATTCCATGTTAATTTTAAGGATGTATTGTATGTTTAACTAATTAGGCCTCTGTTAATGGCCATTTCAGTTGGTTCCAGCTTTTCAGTCTTACAGATAACACTCCAGTGAATATCCTATTGCGTTTGCATGAGTTTTTCTGTGGGCTAGATTCTTTTTTTAAAAAATTTATTTCATTGAAGTTGAGTTGATTTACAATGTTGTGTTAATTTCTGCTGTACAGCAAAGTGATTCAGTTATACTTATGTATAGATTCTTTTTCATAGTCTCTTCCATTATGATTTATCACAGGATATTGAATATAGTTCCCTGTGCCATACAGTAGGACCTTGCTGTTTAGCCATTGTATATGTAATAGTTTGCGTCTGCTAATCCCAAACTCCCAATCCATCCCTCCCCTCCCCGCTCCCCCTTGGCAACACAAGTCTGTTCTCTATGCCTGTGAGTCTGTTTCTGTTTCATAGATAAGTCATTTGTGTCGTATTTTATTTATTTATTTATTTTCAATTTAAAAAAAATTTTGGCTGCATTGGGTCTTAGTTGCAGCACGTGGGATCTTCATTGAGGCACGCGGGATCTTTTGTTGTGGTGCGTGGGCTCTTCGTTGCGGCGTGTGGGCTTCTCTCTAGTTGTGGCATGCAGGCTCCAGGGTGCGCGAGCTCTGTAGTTGTGGTGCGCAGGGTCCAGAGTGTGTGGGCTGTGTAGTTTGTGACACATGGGCTCCAGTTGAGGTGCGCGAGCTCAGTAGTTGTGGTGCATGGGCTTAGTTGCCCCGCAGCATGTGAGATCTTAGTTCCCTGACCAGGGATCGAACCCACATCCCCTGCATTGCAAGGTGGGTTCTTTACCACTGGGCGACCAGGGAAGTCCCTGTGTCATATTTTAGATTCCACATATAAGTGATATCATATCGTATTTGTCTTTCTCTGTCTGACTTCACTTAGTATGATAATCTCTCAGTCCATCCATGTTGCTGCAAAACGCATGATTTTATTCTTTTTTATGGCTGAGTAATATTCCACCGTATCTATGTACCACGTCTTCTTTATCCATTCATCTGTCGATGGACATTTAGGTTGTTTTCATGTCTTGGCTCTTGTAAATAGTGCTGCTATGAACATAGGGGTTCATGTGTCTCTTTGAATTATAGTTTTGTCCAGATATCTGCCCAGGAGTGGGATTGCTGGATGATATGGCAACTCTGTTTTTAGTTTTTTTGAGGAACCTCCATACTGTTTTCCATAGTAGCTGCACCAATTTACCTTCTTTGTGGCCTAGATTCTTAAAACTGTCATTTCAATCTACCTTGCCTTTTTCCCCATCTCATAAATAAAATATTATTTAAATTTGTACGTTCAGCAAAGCCACTTTGGAGGTGCTGAGAGGCTGATCCTCTGCAGCCCCTTCCCTCAGCTGCCTTTGTTCTAGAAAAGTGCCCTCGCAGCGTGAGAGACCCTGGGACCTTGGAGACCCCGCCCACCCCCGGCTGTGGAGAAGCTGAGCGGTCCTGTCAGTTTCAGGGGCAGCTGTGTGGGGGACAGGCATTTTGCACCAGGTACAATTGCTTGCTGGATCAACCCTCTCAATCAGCTTCATGTGCTCTTTCCTTTCAGTTTCTCCACTGCCTCATTTGACTCTTAGCTTCCTCTCCAGCCTCCCTCTTTTGACTGTCTTGCAGAGAGCCGGCTGTCCTCTGTAGGCTCCTCCCGTGTTTCGTGTGCCCGTGTGTGGGCTCAGACTCATGTCTGTGTGTGGGGCTGTTTGTCATGCTGGCAACGGTCAGGGAGGTACAAAGGCACTGTCCTAGGTTGCAGGAAGCGGGTTTTCCCTTGAGGTCTTAAATGCGACCTGTAGTTTCTCTGGCATCATTTACCGATGAGCTGGTGGGCTGACTTTCTGATGAAACTAATTTTAGGATCTGTTGGTCTCGGGGTCCCCTCAAACGTGGGCATATACTTACGTATCTTGTGTAGAGTAAGGATTATTCCACTTAAGTAAAATTTCCAAGAGGGCTGCATCCCTTTAAGCACCAGAATTCTATTTTAGCCATCTTGGTTGAACTCTCTTTAAAACCAGTGATATGTCTGCTTGGCCTCATAACTTGACGTTTTTTGTTTTTTTTTTTCTAGTGACTCAGGGTCACCACTGCACATGTCAAAGCTTGTATGACTGAGGCCCCTGGTCTGGGGATGAATGTTTGCTTCCTCAGTGGCCTCAGACAGCTGGCCTGACTTCAGTGCCTCAGGTTTTATTCTTTCATGATTTTGATGTGTGTTGTCTCTGACAGCTATTGTTCCTTGATTCTGGCCTTGGGCCTGCCTTCATCAGTCTTTTTAATTTGCTGCTTCTAATTTGGGAATAGAGATGTACTCAAACTCTTGTGCACCCAAGTACGCATACACACACATGTGCACCCTCCTAAGAATACATGCAGAGTAGCCACAGTTACAATTAGTCTAGAGAGCTCCCCAGTTAATAAAAGACAGAGTTTCGTGCTGGATTTATGGCATATATTTGAGACAAGCCTGATAGAATGAAAAGCATACCAGACTTGTGTTTGAGGCTGGGCTCTATAACTGTGTGTAGTGACTGTTACTTCCAGACTCCTGTGAGCATGACATGAGATTCAGTGAAAACCATAAATCATGACTCAAGTGTAATGTATTAATGATTATGATTAAAATTGCTCTCTCTCGGTAGCTTATAGGACTTTGTTCTATCTCTAATAATCTTCAGAGGGACATAGAGGTCTGGAAGAAGGTTCAGAAGGGCAACCGAGATTGTAAGTAAGAATTTAGGGGCATACGATTCATGAGTTTCTTCCTTCAGCTCTTGTTTAATGAGCAACCAGTACAAGTCGGATGCTGAGATATTCTGTCCAGATAGGATCTAGGCAGTAATAGCTCATTTATCTAACCGTAACCCTTCAGGAGGAAACCAAGAAGTAGGGAGAGGAAGAGGCTTACAAGCAGCCGGGAAAGAGGCCCCCTCAGAGCCAGCGAGACGACTTTCCTCTTGTGGGGAGGAGCACTTAGGACGACACTACAGGGACTGTGATGTCTGAACTGAATTTTGAATAGAAACATAGCCGTCTCCTCAGACACTTCTCACAGAGGGAACTGTGTGTGAAGGTGCAGGGTACAAAAAGGCGCAGAACCGGTCCAAGAATTCCAGGTAGTTGGTATGGCTGGAATGTGGGTAGGAGAGGAATGAGAAGGGAGAGACTGGAAATGTAGCCCCAGGGCCAGCTCCGCAGGGGTGTATATGGTGCCAGAACAGGTTAGACTTTATCTTGAGAGCAGGCAGAAGCTATTGACTTTCAGTGGAGACATGAAATCCCATTTGCTTTGAAGAAGAACTCTGGCTTTGTGGAGAGTGTTTTTGGAAAAAAGTGAGAGACAGAAGGTAGGGGCACCAGGTTAGGGAGCTGCAACCTGAAGGGTAGTGATGGCCTGCACTGTGGGCGGTGCCTTTGGAAGGGAGATGAAGGGATGGATAAAGAAATAGTCATGGGCTTCCCGGGTGGCGCAGTGGTTGAGAGTCCGCCTGCCGATACAGGGGACACAGGTTCGTGCCCCAGTCCGGGAAGATCCCACATGCCGTGGAGCGGCTGGGCCCGTGAGCCATGGCTGCTGAGCCTGCGCGTCCGGAGCCTGTGCTCCGCAACGGGAGAGGCCACAACAGTGAGAGGCCCACAAAAAAAGAAAAGAAAAGAAAAGAAATAGTCATAAGGTGGGATTTCTAGGACTTCTGGGTGTGGAGGGCTTCGGAGCTCTCAGAGATGATGCTAAGGATTCAGGCTTGGACAGATGGGGGGTGATGGGCTTGCCTTCTGAAATAGGGAAGGTGGGCTGAGTGATGAGGTAGAGGGTCACCTGGGGCTTCTGCTGGGATGCTCATGTGCCCTTCCAAGAGCTGTGCCTTCCTAGGGTCATCATGACCCAGAGTTGGTCATTTTCCCCCAACTGAGTCACACTTACCTGAAAAAGAGGTACATGTTGATGTCAGTCTATTAATGGACATGGTGAGCATATATATATGATTTCTTTTTTAAAATTATTTTTATTTTTTGGCCGCGCCATGCTGCATGTGGGATCTTAGTTCCCCAACCAGGGATCAATCCCGTACCCGCTGCGTTGGAAGTGCGGAGTCTTAACCATTGGACCGCCAGAGAGGTCCCACACGTATGATTTCTAAGGCATGTGTTCGCTATCAAGACACCCCCTTCCTAGTACCATAGTCACTGGGGAACCCATCTAGTAATCAGGGAATTCCTTGCAGGGCATGGAGCCAGAACAAAGGAAGAAAGTTTTGACTATTTGAGGAAAATTTACTGAACATGGTGGGTCCTCTAAAGTATGAGGCTGAAAGGTAGAGCCCTTCTTGCAGGGAACTCATGGTTAGTGGAGAAGAAGGGCAAAAATAGTCAGTGAAACATTGTATACAGTGAGTGCTGGAAGGGGCTTGAGTGCGGCTAATTCAGGAGGTGAGGTCCGCACTTAGTACCCAACACTGAAGGATGGAGAGGAGTCAAGGGGGGGCGGTGAAGAACCCATTCACCACAGCCTACAGAGCCGACGCCATCGGACGCTCTGACACATCTCATC